ACTCTTTCCCTTAGTCCTGCAGCATCTTTGGTCTGTTTGTTTCACTGAAATCCCATTTTGAAAAACTATGCTGCATATATGCAAGAGCTTTGATGTTCCCTGGCTGGTAGAGAAGTCTAGATAATAGAGATGGACTCTGCTGGCGATGCCAGCCTTTGCTATTTACGTCCCAAAATTCAGCTCAGCAGGAAAGCCTCTTTGGGGAAGGCTTGACTGGCTGAGACTAAAACAAGGCACATTGGGAAGACGTGGACTTCTCCTTGAAATCCCCCTCCCCATTTAGCAAATGCTTCCTGATTGTATCTCCTCAGTACTCAGCACAGGGTGCAGGGGACATTAGCACCACCAACCCCCACCCTGCCCCTGTTATGATAACCAGATATCTCTGCAGAGATTACCAGCTGCCCCAGAGACTGGGGCCCTTGTAAACTAGTTCAAAGGGAAGAGAAGCTGTCTTTTAATTCTCCTTATTCAATAGGGGCTTTTATGAATGTGATAATGATAGTTGTCCTGTGAGTCTCTGTGCCTTAAAGAACCCTTCCTGTCATAGAGTCTCTGTAAAGTATATTGACATCTTGACCTTTTTGTTTATTCATTCAGTGATTGGTTTGGGAATTTTATTTTATTTTATGATTTTTTTTTAACTTTCAAATTTTTTTTCCCTAAGTTTTATCATTGTCTTCATATAAAGAGCAAATGGCTTCTACTAATCCATCCTCAAACCAACTAAGATAGAAATTATTCAAATAGAACTTAGGCTCTACAAGGAAACCAAAAGTGTTTTTAAATGTTTTTGAATTTTAATTGGCACATAAAAATTGAATGTATTTATGAGTTATGGTATGATATTTCAATGCATGTATTCAACACATAATGATCAGATCAGCAGAACTGGTACATCCATCACCTTAAACAGAACATTCCAAATCCTCTCTGCTGGCTGTGTTGAAATGTGCCCTTAAGCCATTGTCAGCCTCAGTTACCACAATTATCTGCCGTGCTCCTGAGCACTAGAAGTCCTTGCTGCTGTCTAGCTGCACAGCACCCAGGACCCTTGCAACCACCTGCACATCCCACACATCACATTCCCTCTCAGGTTAAGGACGCCATCCTACATCCTCTGCCCTGACCACAGTCCTGTCAAAAAGCCTTGTGTCTAAATTGCTAACTCTAGAAGCTTGAAATTCTCTTCCTTTCCAAAAAGATTTGAAGCATTACCTTCTGGATAGGCAAATACATGTTTTTTTAATTCTATACAATTTTGAAATTGGATAATAAACCATGTACTAGTTTTTTAAAATTTATTGTAGTAGCAGAGTTGTACATTCAAAGCCAGTACAGAATCTGCTGGTATGTTTTAGAGGGAGTCACTATTTGGGATGAGAAAAAACAGCCTCATGGTTTGTTCCATGATCTGTTTTCCACATCCTCTATGCACCTCCGTTGTTCTGCTGCCAGCCTGTCCCCACCAGTACTTCATGGCAGAGAGTTTGAGAAGTAGCTGGCAGGCTCTCCCACAAGCACTGTTCTTAGCACTTGCTGTGTGTGTTTCCATGAGAAAATCTCACAGATTGATTATAACCTACTTGATCCTTAGCTTGATGAACTCTAAATATATGCATAAAATCCTACATTGCCACAAACAAGACAATTAATTAAAGGAGATTTAACACTAGAAACATATTCTCTAGTCTTTTTCCTGTTTAACTGTGTATGAATTACGAAGTATAATTTGAATATTGAAGTGATACATGGAAAAAATCAAGAATGGCTACATTTGTTCCTTTTGTTTATTAAAAAGTAATGAATAGATATGTTGCACAAAATTGCAGAACACTTATCTAATTGTTAAGCCTGGGAGTAAAACCATGCCAGGAAGGGATATTTTCACTAATTATCAGATTCTTTCTACTATCCTTCTTACCCCCATACCTTTCTCTCCCTTCACTCCCCTCTATCTAATCCAAAGTAACTCTCTTCTTCCCTAGCCCCACCCCCTCCTTATTGTGAATTAACATCTACATATCAGAGAAAAAATTCAGGCTTAGGTTTTTTTTTTTGTTTGTTTGTTTTTTTTTTTTTTTTTAGGATTGGCTTATTTTGCTCAGCATGATATTCTCCAGCTCCATCCATTTATAGGCAAATGCCATAATTTTGTTCTTCTTTAATATTCCAAGAATTTTCAGTTATATGTCCTCAAGATAGAGTGAATATCAAACACAGTTGGCACAAGGTTTACAAATTCAGTTCTGTGTTCTGTGGGACGAAATAGCTATTCGTTTGGTCAGCCTTTTGAACATGATAAAGATTTAGTCACCACTTGCCTTTACTCAATGAACCAGTAGAAACATTAGAACAGAAGCATTGTATATCTAAATTTATAAATGGTGTATTTCTATTTTGGTAAGAGTTGCATGTCCCACAATTTCTCAAGGATCCTCACCAAGAGAAATAAAAAGTTTTCATCTGTTTTTACCTACTTCAAAGTGTGACCCTAGCTACACCACTGCTCTGTTGCCTGGTTGATGTTGGTTAGCTAGACAAAATAATGTCAAATATGTTAACATAACCCTTGAAAAAAGTCCAGTCATTTTCATTAATGAAAAGCTCTTCTTTAATGGATGCTGATACATTTGCCCCTATTAACTCAATGAAAGTTTGAATAAAGGTCAGTTACATCAACTGGCTTTGAAATAGTTCTTTTTCTTTGGTGTTATCCTGCCAGGGGGCCATCAATGTTCCGAAATAGCAAAGAATCCCCTTTGAACTCTATCTCTAGTTGCTATCAAAGATTATCTATATTCACATCCATTGTGCTTTTATTTCCTTCAGAGTTTCTCTGTAGCCATTAAGAAATGATTGTAATAAAAGGTATTTAAGAGCTACATAGCTGACATGTCAGAGCAGAAGAAAATTGTCTAGTGCTATAACTATTAATCCTGCTTTATCGTGGAGAAGTTGGAAAAGTGGAACAAGAGAAGAGCCAGCAAAAGATAATGCAGCTGCTTTCCCTCTTTTTACACTTCCCTCTTCTACACTTCAGCTGTCACATTTGTGATGAGCCTGAAGACGCTACTTCTCTACGCTCCCTGCTCGCCTGTCAGCTCTTCTGGAAGAGGGAAATCTCATCCTTGTTGAGTTGACATTTCGTATTCTTATTTTTCTAGATCTTATTAGGTCTTTAAATGATAATGTTAATTTAAAATGTTTAAGGGGATGATAAAGTAGAAAATAGAAAAAAACAAAATAGCCAAGGAAACATTTTTCTGTTTCTTGTTACATTAGTAGCTAGACTCGCTGCTCTAACTGGCTTCCTTTGAGAAGCCAGTGTTACTGCTGCTTCATCATCCAAGTTGACACACTTGCAAAATGACTTGTGTCTTTCCCTAGTGTCCTTTCTGTCCAATGCAAAGAGCGGGTCTCAAATAAGGAACCAGGAGCAGTATGACAAGGGCGGTTCACTTTCAGTGTTTTTGTTAATACTTGGAAGAGGTGTGCAGGCTTCATGAATAGTCATCTAAAGGCTTCATGCAAAGTCATCTCTGAATGGTTTTGATTAAAAAACCCAAGATGCTTTATGTGCTGAGCCTCCTTTTTATAAAGTTGAAACTGAGTGACAAACTCATTGAAAATGACCTTTAGTGGGATATCCAACATCCATCAATTGACATCATTTAGCTCTGACTTAAGCTAAGCTGTATGATAATGGAGAGGAAAAGGTCATGAATTTTGAATTTGTCTCTTGGAAAATAAGTAATAAAATTCTGGAAATAACTTATGACAGTTAAATAACTTTATAGTATCTCTATCAACATTTCCATTTTCATGTTGCAAGGATATGAGGCAAATGTCTATTTTCTTCCAGTAAAAATTTCAAGACTAAGGAACTTAACTCAGATTCTGGAATAGAGTTTTGTTTTCACATTTATTTACATATACACACCCACATACAGATGGATGTACATAAAATGCCTGTGAGGAAGCTTAGTGTGTGTCATTTATGTTATATTGATTTTAAATACATTAATGGATACAAATGGGCTAAACAGATTGGTACCCCACTCTAAAATTATAAAGGAATAGCTTTGTTTTACTGTGGTTTTTCTCAGAAGTATGAAAATATTTTCCCCAAATATATGTATATTTCACTTCTGTCCTCTTTATAATCATTGCCTTTGTTTTTCACAAAAGTCGAAAATTTCATGTAATCAAAGGTCAGAATCATTATTTCAATTTTTAATATTTTTAAAAGTCATAGTGAAGATAGAAGATTTGAAGTGTAGACAAAAATTAAAGACAAATATTTTATCAAAGCATCTTTTATAATTGTTGCATGTTTTTATGATGCATGTTGCTTAGGGAAAAGCACCATCTCCCATTGTGCTTTGAATCTTATTTGTTCATTTAACTTTTATTGTTATCATTTGTCCAAGTTGCTATAATCTTTATAACTCTCATTTCTAGTGGTGGACTGGTATTTCTTTGTGCATATAAGCCATAATTTTAAAATTATGTGTAATTAATGTTTAATTATACGCTCTCCCATTATTCATTATGTTTAATTCAAAGCAAATTTAACTATCAGGATTGCTGTAAGATCCAGATTTGCCTATAGCTCATGTCAGTGCATCTAATAAACCATAGCAATTTTCTCTCTTTCATCCATTCTGTCATTTGTTTGTTAGATGCAATATGGTACCACAAATCAAGCAAATATGTATTTACAAATTATATAAGAATTGACCACAGTTTTTATGCATGAGTTAGGCATAAATTATTATAATTTTGCATTAGTGCAGGCTTTCCATTGTTGAGAACTTCCTATGCAACAGCTGATATATGTAAATATAATATGTGCTACCTTGATCTTTAGCCTTCTTCCACCCATCCAAAACCACCCCATCTCTGCTTGTTCTTTCCTGTGTAAATTGTGTCAGAATAGTTCTGAGAGAGCTAATCCTGGGCGGCTACCAGTTGCAGTCACCTCTATACAACCCCCCACAAACTCCATTGTAAGCTCTCTGTGGCAGGAATGGCTCTCCTAATCCCTGAACAGTTGACCCTCCCTGTCGCCAGTATTCACTGGATTCTATAACACCTGCTTTTGTTTTTGTTTGTGATGTTTGAGGATGGAAATATGAGGAAGCTGTTAAAGACATTTACTCTCTCGTTTTTCTTCCACCAGTGGGATGGAGTAGGACCTCTTCCAGACTGTGCAGAACCACCCAAAGGGATCCAGATGCTGTGGCACCCCTCCATAGTCAAACCCTACCTCACACTGCTCTCTGAGTGCTCAAACCCAGACACGCTGGAAGGGGCGGCAGGTGCCCTGCAGAACTTGGCCGCAGGGAGCTGGAAGGTATGGCTAGTTCGTTACAATACAAAAGACTCTGGAGTTGCAGCAAGTCTTGAGAAAATAATGCAAGTGTAGTTCCAAGAGGTGCAATTCTAACAAAGATGTTTAGGAGAAAAACCAATTATATTGAGTTGTTGGGCTTAGAAAGTTGAAAAAAAATCTTTAAAAAAATGAAATTCTTCTTAAGGTTTCAGAGGTCTTTGAAGACCACTGGTGAATAATATGATCATTGAAAAGGCTGTGAAATTCTTGTGATTCTATGGGGACAGCTGAGCTGCTTGACTTTCAGGGACAATTGTGACATGTGGATGTTTTCAAAGCACCATCATTGGCTGTTAAGAGAGCTAATCTGCAAACACCCATATGAGTATTCTAGATGTTGTACTGGGTCCCAGCCCCCAAAGAAGACCCCTTGCATTTTTAAATCATGAGCTAACAGAGGAGAACAGTATTGTTAATTCCGTTTGGCAAAAACATTTAAACAAATGTATGATTTTGACGAAATTAAGAGGGTCCTTTCTCCAAGTCCTTATGAACTGACACTATTCCTGCTTGATTTTCACAGAAAATTCTCAAGATCCTGATTTTTGGTAGGAAAAGATTCACCAGGGAAAATAATTCTTGACTATGGTCATCATAGTTACAAGCACCAATTTGCCTTGTTGCATTAAAATATAAAAGTGTGTGACCACTCTTAGAGAAATGAAGATAGAATGTATGGGGAAACGCCAAGAGAAAAAACATCCAAAAAAAAGTTTTGATTTTGCCATCATGTTCCATCCATTTAATATCAAAGTCAGGATTTGGGAGGTTCGTAAATCACTCTTTTCTTTGACATTCATTCTCTTCAAAGTGATGTTAACATTGACACATAGCTACAGAATTTTCAGAAGCTCAGAGGCATAGATGTCACTCTTCCTGGCCTCAGATCATCATGTGACTGCACATTCCCTTGTGCTCATAAGGTCCAATGTCAGCCTTCTTGTTCTCTCTCTCTCTCTCTCTCTCTCTCTCTCTCTCTCTCTCTCTCTCTCTCTCTCTCTCTCTCTCTCTCTCTCTCTTCCTCTCTCTCTCATCCTCATTTCCATTACACTAGTCCCAGCCACAACCCCCAGCTCTTCCTTCCAGCTGTGATGACATCACAGCTCCTGGGCCGGGTCCCTGAGTGTGCCTGGGGAGCTGCTTGCTGCTGTGTGGACAGGCTCAAGCTTCCTTGAGAGCCTGAGGAATTAACATGATCGTCCCTTTCCCTCCCTGCCTGTAAAACATCCCTAGTGTTTCTACCTACAGAATTCAGGTCAGGCCAGGCTGGAAGATGTCTCCTACTTTCAACCAGAGATAGGTGCAGACAAGTTTCAAAAGCAGAGTCCCACCAGGCAGAAGGCCAGAGTGTGGCCTTATAGGACTAGGAAGGTCATTCATGGAAATCGCTTCTTTGAAGTGGCCCTCACATCTCATGTCCCTGTAAGCTTAACATGGTCCGTAATTTTTTATTCAAACCACAGTTCAAACGCAGGACCTGCCTTTTCAGAGGGTGGTGATCCTGAGCAGGTTACACCCCTCATGGGTCTCACGTGTGTCATCTTCAAACAGAGAAGACCATGCTGAACTCTCTACCATGCAGATCCATCACCACCTGGATGCAAAGATGGGAACAAGATGGCATGGCCCAAGAATTGTCACATTTTCTGACCAAGAGTCCCCACCAGCACCCCTGCCTTATGGCACTATCTCAACAGGCATGGAAAGGAAGGGACTGTGAGCTGAGACTAACCTGAGGTACAAAGACCTGGATATCCGGATGGTGACAAATCTAATGTGCTATCTAAGTTCTGTTTTTAACCAACTATCATGTTCCCTGAAAAAGATGTAGTTCCGTATCATGATAATTTAAAAATCATGAAATGTCTTTGGGTACTTGAAGATTTTGAATATAAGACTTTGACTTTTAAACTCAGATTCTTTATGTTCAAAACGTTAAAAGGATCTGGCAGGAATATGTAAAAGACCCAAATCAAACTTCTAGAGTTGAAAATAGCATGTCTGAAACTATGGCATTTCATTACATTTAAATGGAATTAATAGCAGATTATTGTAAAAGGAAAAAAAATGTGTGAACTTGAAGACAATAAGGGAGATTATCCAAAAGAAAAGAAGAATGCAGAGTGCATCTTGAGAATCAAGTAATCTTGAGAAATGCAGTGAACTCTCCCACAAGGGAAGGAAGAGAACAGAAAAGAAAATATTTAAGGAAATAATGGTTGAAATTCTTCCACATCTTATGAAAACCAGAAATTTGCAGATTCAAGTAGCTCAAGGAACCCAAAAAACAAGAAACATGAGAAAATATACCAAAGTGCATTATAATTCAGTTGCTCAGAACTGGTAATAAAAGGAAAATCTTAGAAGCAGCAAGAGTAAAAAGACATGCTGTATACCAAGAGCCATGTAGCATCTAACCAGCGAAGGTCAAGAACAGCATCATGGATCATCTATCCCTTGCTGAGCTGCTAAGACTGTCTCTAGAAGAAAATCTGGTCTGTGAGCCCCTGAAGGGCCAACACCAACTTCCACTTGTCTCTGTACCCCACTGCTTGGCTGAGTAAAGATGTCCCAATTTTAGATTATATAATGCCAATTATGAAAGATGTGTAACAATTATTCTCAGTGTTTAACCCAAGCAGTACCTGTCCACACGTCTTTCTTGTAGATTTTGTCTATTCATAAGCATCTATCTATCAGTAAGAATTTAGTAGCATATTATGGACCAGGCCATCTTCAGATGGTCACATTTATGACCAATTACTTGGTCTTTCGATTCAGATACAAATATGCTTTTTAAATGACAAAATCATGGAATTTGCAGGGAAATGGATGGCACTAGAGCAGATTATGCTTAGTGAAGCTAGCCAATCCCTAAAAAACAAATACCAAATGTCTTCTTTGATATAATGAGAGCAACTAAGAACAAAGCAGGGAGGAAGAGCAGGAAGAAAAGATTAACATTAAACAGATACATGAGGTGGGAGGGAAAGGGAGAGAAAAGGGAAATTGCATGGTAATGGAGGGAGATCCTCATTGTTATACAAAATTACATATAAGAGGTTGTGAGGGGAATGGGAAAATAAACAAGGAGAGAAATGAATTACAGTGGATGGGGTAGAGAGAGAAGATGGGAGGGGAGGGGAGGGGAGATAGTAGAGGATAGGAAAGGTAGCAGAATACAACAGTTACTAATAGGGCATTATGTAAAAATGTAGATGTGTAACCGACGTGATTCTGCAATCTGTATTTGGGGTAAAATTGGGAGTTCAAAACCCACTTGAATCAAATGTATGAAATATGATATGTCAAGAGCTTTGTAATGTTTTAAACAACCAATTAAAAAAACAAATATGCTTTTTATGCAGAATAAAGTTGATAGAGTTGTTTTTGCAGAATCTGGGCTCAGCTGTGCTAGCAAGCTGCAGGTTTAGAAGTGTGGCCCTGCTCTGCAGTTCCTGCAGTGTGGAAGTATCTGTGCAAGTCACCAGGCTCGTGTCTCAGGGGCAACCAGGCCAGCATGAGAACTGCTGACAGATGTGGGTAGTTAGGTGTGAAGAGTAAGAAAATGGCAGGTTTGAAAAATGTTCGCTATTTCTATGTTCTCCAATTATCTCCTATTTTGGATTATATAATACCAATTATGAAAGATGTGTGACAATCATTCTCGGTGTATTCTGGAAAGAGCATCTTGCTGTTTCCAGAATATAAGCCTATATATTAGTGTAGCACAGTTGCCCCAGTGTGACTACTGACCACACACATCCAGGGAACATTTATTTGGTAAGTTTTTATAGAGTAAATACTATTAAGAAGGGGAAACTGAAGTCGAGATCACAGAAGTCGTTCTGTATTTTAGACAGTTTAACAACTATACCACTGGATTTCCCAGTCCGCACTGTAGACATGAACTAGAAAATTTAGATACACAGTAAAAAGTCAGGGCAGATACCCTGATGGCAAAGAGAGAAGAAAGAAGAGTTAGGAAAAGTAAACATACAGATGCAAGAAAGAAAAACTCCCAGAGGTTGTTCTAATAACTGGTAGTCATAGTGCTGACCTCTGTCGTCAAGAACATGTTAAATTGCCACTAGTAAATTTTAGAAGACAGAAAGAATTTTAGAATGCCAGTCTTATTCTAAGCTCTGCTTCCCGAATAATTCTAGACAAATGAGTTAGTCCTCAAGCAGGGTCAGTTGCTACTAAGGAACATTCTGTGCAGTTGTAAATAAATATATACTTATGTAGGGACTTTTTATTAAAATACAAATACACAGGTACATATATAATTCAATCACATTATCAACATCTATTACATAATTTATTAATTTACAATGTGGGAAGGGAGGTGGACAATTCTTGGACAAGATTGGGAAAAATTTCATTGAACCAAACACTAACAAATTACTTCAAGAAAATTGTGAATTAAATGGGCAGAAACCAAGCAGGGAAACCCTTATTTTCAAAAGTCTATTTCAAAAGACAGTTCTTGAATAATTAAAATATTGACAGGATGCACAATAGCATCGACTTCCACACAGATTGTATTGCTGTCTGAAATCTAGAGTCTAAGAATGTGTTTTTATAGCAATTGTCAAAATTTAGTGGTATTTCTTTAGTGTCCTTAACTTTTTATGGCCCAACAAAAACAGAAATGTGAAGGTAAAACACCAGAATTTTGCATGGAGACAGCTTTTTATAGACCTCATTGTCTGAAACAATAACTTTCCTTTATGGGAAGAGCTTGCACACTCTTTATTTTTTTTCTGTGACAAATTGACTAGCAAACTAGATCTTCATAATGGCCCTAAACACTTTTTAAAGTTTAAAACACTTATTACTTGGTTTATGGGCATCAGAAAAAAATAATAGCATTATGCAGAAGCAAAGTGATACATGTTTTTCATAGCCGACATGGACATCAATTACCTTTTTCTCATTTACAGTACAATGGTTTTGTT